TCAGCTAACGCCCAAGTTCCATTACCCATAATTGAATCCATTTCGTCATTGATTGCTTCCTTCCACAGAGGAGCATCCCGAGACGTCATGGCTTCAGTGAAGGTCTTAGGATCATCATCAAAATTAATTGAAAGGATGACCTCTCTCGTCACTTTCTTTTGTGTTCCTTCGACCAAATAAGAATAGAAATCATCTCCAAAGGTTTTCTCAATTCTAGCCCTAGTACTTCTCCTTGGTTCCTCCACAATGGGAGGAGGTGGGAGTATTTCTCGAGAGGTACTTGTAGGTGTTGTATGACTAGAGTTTTCTTCATCCTTAGAAAACTTGTCCTCAAAGAATTCCACATCTCTGGATTCCACAACAACACCTGAATCAATATCAAGTAACCGGTAAGCCTTGCTATTTTGAGCATATCCAATAAATATACTCTTATTAGCTCGTGCTCCCAATTTGGTTCGCTTAGGATCGGGAGTTCGATAATAAGCAACACACCCCCACACTTTCAAATAGTCTAGGTTAGGTTTTCTACCTTTCCACAACTCATAAGGGCTTGTAGGAATCACACGACTAGTGATCCTATTGTGAACATAACAAGCAGTCAATAGTGCTTCCCCCCACAGATTGTTTGGTTGACCCGATTGGTTCAACATACAGTTGACCATCTCAGAAAGGGTTCGGTTCTTTCTTTCAGCCAAACCGTTCTGTTGGGGAGTGTATGGTGATGTTCTCTCATGTTTGATTCCATTCTCTTCGTAGAATGTGTCAAACTCTTGGTTGAAATATTCTCCGCCTCTGTCCGAGCGAAGAATTTTGATGAGTCTTTCAAGTTGATTTTCGACCGCAGCCTTATATCGTTTAAATGCATCAAAAGCTTCATCTTTTGATCTCAGAAAATAAACATGTAGATATCTACTGAAGTCATCACAAAATGTGATGAAATACCTTCTTCCTCCTCGAGTAAGGATTCCATTTAACTCACATATATCAGAATGAATCAACTCAAGTAACAAAGTGTTTCTCTTAACTGATGGAAATGGTTTCTTAGTGAACTTTGATTTTACACATGTTTCACATTTTTCAAAATCTTTTGTGTCATATTTTAACATACTTTTAGTTTGCATTTTTTCAATGTTTTTAACATTAGTGTGAGCTAAGCGTTTATTCCATAAAGAAATTGAACAAACAATATAAAAAGAAAAGTTCACTTCATTCACATTAGCAACCAATCCATCAATTACATCATTTCCAACACTCGACACACTAGCAACACCACTCTCAACACTAGGACCACTCATATTACCCTCATCACTAAGACATAAACGATACATTCCCAAAGTGTTGTTAGCCCTCCCAACATATCTTCTGCCTTTAGTGATCACAATTTTGCCTTTCTCAAGCACCATCTTGAACCCACCCTTGTCAAACTTGTTCGCAGAAACCAAACCCTTCGAGATAGTAGGAACATGAAGAACATCTCGAAGAGTCACCCATTCACCACGTGTGAACTTCAACCGAACATCACCCCTTCCTAGAACTTCAGCTCTATGGCCATCAGCACAGACGACAACCGTCCCATGAGGCATGGGTTGGTAGGTGCGAAAGCTCTCTCGTTGCCCACAAACATGCACAGTGGCTCCAGTGTCCACGAACCAACCTCGAGCACAGATTGCTCGAGTAAGAGAGGAGATCATGAAAATCTCTCCAAGGTTCACACTATCCACCATGTCAGTTACCTTCTCGACTGCATGTGCAACCGGTATGGATTTGCGATCTTTGCATTCTCTCGCATAGTGCCCAATCTCTCCGCAGACGTGGCAAGGACCGGCCCTTTTTGGCTTTGAGTTAGGATTTTGATGACCCGGTTTCTTGAAGCTTTGTTTCTTGGGCCCAAAATTCTTCTTGTTTTGTCCCCCAGATTTACCTTTGTGGCTAGAACTCCTACCTGACACATGATGCACACTTTGTCCAACTTTACCTCACTTGTCCCTGATGTGAGTTTCCTCCTCAATGCGGAGGTGTTTCATCAGATCATCCAAGGAGTAGTCCTCAGATTTGTGCATTATTCTCTTAGAAAAATCTTTCCACGAGGGTGGCAGTTTTGCGATGATCGCACCAACCTGAAAGAGTTCTGGAAGAGAGATGGTGAGTGCGTTCAACTTGTTGACCATGACTTGGAGTTCATGCACTTGCTCCATAATTGGTTTGTCATTAACCATTTGAAACTCAAGGTACTTGGACACAAGGTACTTATTAGTACCTTCTTCATGTGCCTTATACTTGAGTTCCAACGCACTCCATAGCTCTTTAGGATCTTTGACCGGCGAGTAAAGATCATAGAGCCGATCAGATAGGGAATTCTTGATGTGACCCACACACAATTCCTCGGATTCTCTACGCAGAATCCTTTGTTTTTCCAGTTCTGTAATGACCGTTGGGTCCACAGATTCCCCTTCCTTTGGAATTGGATCATCAGGAATTGGTGCTAGTTTTGGGTCCAACAAAAAGGAGAGCTTCAAGACATGAAGCATGAACTTGACCTTTTCGGCCCAACGAGTGTAGTTCTGACCATTGAATTGGTGAAGTTTGGCAAACTCTTAGTTCATGAAATGGAGGCTAGCAGTAGGGTCCATTAGTCTGTTGATTGATCACAATAAAGTAAAAACCTTTAAGATTGTTGTAAATAACAAATTAATAGACGCGCAAGGAAACCGACAAATAATATTGAGAATTATATGTCGATTAGTTGCGAATAATAGATCCAATTATTATTATTATTATTATATTTACCGAGTTTCGTCCAGAAACCAGATCTGTCCTTCTCGATTAGATCCGATTATAAGAAAGGTAGAAGAAAACTGTCCTGTTATTAGACGAATTAAATACAAGACAGAAAAATAAAACCGACCTGTTGATTGCTGATCTTGATCTTGAAACAACTGCACGGATCAGACTCCTGTCCTTAAAGGTTTTTTACTTCGCTTGTACTGGCTGTAAGCAACAGAGTAAAACCCCAAGATTTAATGTAGCTTTATCGATAGTCCAACAGCACTGGAAATCGATAAACACAAAACCGACTACTTGGAAACTAGGGAAAAAACGCAAAGAGAGGGAGGAAGCTTTCAAATTTCGAGAGTATCCATACGGCTTCTAGGGAGCTGTATTTATAAGTATCGTAACCCTAGAAACCCTAGGGCAACAGCTTGCTCTCCAAGCAAGCCGTTTCCTGATCCTTCTAGAATACCCTGACTTGGCCTCCACGAAGTCAACGGCGGTCAACCATTTGACCGGATCGGTCAAACCAGCTTGACCCGAACTCGTCAAAAATAAAAGCTCCTTAGCGACCGATGCGTCGTGCGAAGTGCAAAGTGCGCCTAAATCGCGCACTCGCGGTGTCGACTAGTATTAGGCTAGGCTAGGCGTGCGCATGGGCTTGGCCCATTCCTTTGATCCACTAAAGCCTTTGAAGGCTTACCAAGGGAATAGGCTTATAAACCCACAAAAGTTTCTTCCCCCCACCAATGTGGGATACAAAGGAAATTGCCAACTTGCAATTCCTTTATATATAAAGTTCCAACATATAAATATTTTAAACACCATTTTATATTTTTCTATAATTATGATATTCCGGGCAGAAGTTAACATTTTTTTTTTTGGGAAAATGATTTTGGAAGTTAATAAATAGTAACGTAGCCACATATAGGCAAAGGTGGGCCTTACCCACCCACAAAAAATTAAGTTTATACATATCTGGAAAATGACTTTTGAATGATGCACACCATTCAAAATTCCAGATTTCATATCTCGTTTATATTTTATAAATTATTTGATCTATTTTAAAATAAGATTCTGGCTATGTCACTGGTAACAAACTATCGGTTTTGTTCACATTTGGTCATTTTTTTTTGTTCTTTATTTACCATTGAACTTGTTTTTAATGTTCACAAAAACCATTGCAACTTGCTATTGAAGATTTCCAGTAACTTTATCAGCTCCGACGGCTCTCCGGTCATCTTATACGACGAGCCTCCGACAAACAGGAGTTTTCTGACTATTTCAAACCCACAAACCCACAAAAACCATTGAAACCTTGAAATAAGTTCGATTTCATATCTATAAATTTTTCCTCTTCAAGTTCAAGTTCATCAGACTGTCTATTTTGTTTTGGAAAATAGAAAGGGGAAGATGAAGGTTGAAGGTTCATCCATGGAAGAAATCGTTCATTTTTTCATTAGAAATCGTCCAGCTTCGAGTTCAAGTTTACCAGAAAAATTTGTAGATCTAGAAAATAGAAAGAGGAAGATGAAGGTTCATCCATGGAAAAAATCGTTCATAATTTTTATCCCATTCAAATTCATTCATATTTTCATCAGAAATTGCTCACCTTCGATACTTCGTTACCTTCCAAAGTGGTTTTTCCTAATTTTTTTAGGCTGTTCCTTAAATATTTATCCATGCCCTTAAGTGATAAGTAATTAATATCCCATTCAAATTATCAAAGAATCTGTACATAAATATTTCGATTCACCTCTTCTAACGTGGATTTAATATCTATAGGTTAAAGCCACTTAATTTTATGTCAAATATATATACAACGTTGACAAAGGATCAAAGAATGGGAAAATATAAATTGAATGAAAATATTTCGATTTACTCGAATCTACCAACCAACAAGGAAATATAAATATATCTATCCCATCCATGGTGGTAATGTGGATTTATCATTTTACCTATTTAAGCATCACACTTCTAACTTTTTGCCAAATTATGGCACAACCATCACGACTTTATTAATATGCAACATTTAATCATCCCATTGTATTGCAAAGGGCTAATGCCATAAAAATCCCCAAATTTTCAAAAAATGTTCGGTTATGTCCTAAGTCCATTTTTATGTCTACTAAAACCGCACATTTACGCAAAAATTGTTATAGTTGCCCTTTTTTCCGATTTTACCCTTCTGTGGCATTAGTTATGTTTGGTTATAACCTCACCATCACTACCTATCCAACCAATTCCCCTTCCCTCACACAATGACACCAGGCGTCAACTCTACCAACACCTACAACACCACCGCCGAAATCCTCCACACAATCCGTCCATGGTTCGATGACTTCCTCTCCTCCTTTACTCTCCTTACTCATCTTCATCTTAACCCTAATTCTCCGCCTAATCGCTGCAATCGTGTTCCGGTTCATCATTTATCATCTTCGGTTGGATCTTCCTGTTCTTCGCCAGATACGAACCCTTAATCGTTTTCGATTTCAAATTCAGATATCGTTTGGTTCTGATTTCGTTGATCGTGATTACGATCGTTGTGGTGGAACCTCTTTAGCTCGATTTTGATCGCGGCTCCTTTGGTGAGCTTACATGCGATATTAGGGACTCCTGATTATACCGAATCGCTATATGGAGCTTTGCTTTCAGGTGTTGATGAAGATGGAGATTCACGATGAGCCTACATACAGGTTTGATGGATTTTTGAAGAACAAATTCGATTTGATTTTAACAATACTTTTGCTTGTATGATTTTTATGTACATGTAAATTGATTGATGATTATATCACTATGTTGTTTGAATGGCTATTTTTGTTACATATGATCTCATATTTGTTGCTTATGGATTGTGAATTGTGATCTAATTTGTGTTCTTGCCAATTACTGCATTCATATAACACTGAAACTCAAAATTAAAATCAAAATCAAAATCAGCTTATCTATTGAATCGAGTTAAGGATGGATTTTTATCTGAATCAAACATGCAACCTTCAGGAAAAATTGTAACGTGTTATATACCAAGCAAACCAAACACAATCTAATCCTAGAACCAAACATCCCCTAATGCCACAGAAGGGTAAAATCGGAAAAAAGGGCAACTATGACAATTTTTGCGTAAATGTGCGGTTTCTGTGGACATAAAAATGGACTTAGGACATAACCGAACATTTTTTGAAAATTTGGGGCTTTTATGGCATTAGCCCTATTGCAATTACATCTAAGACCAACTCTTGGTATACTAACACCCATTTATACATTTTTCATGCACAAGATACACACATGAAACATGTAGAAGTGTATTTTCACAACTTAAAATTCTTAACAATTTATAAGTATTTGATACCTTACATACAAAATGTGTATTTATTTTTGGGTCTTACATAGAAGCCAATATGAAGAACGTTATTGTTGATCTACAAGGCTCAACTTCAAATAAAACTGAAAAATAGCTATTGGACTCTAAAATTGACTTATTTTGCAACACATATCAAGAACTAGCTTTTGTTAAGTTATATTCTTAAAAGACAATTTTAGTTCAACCAGAAGACAATGTCAGCCCGATGAAAATCAAAATGACACCTTGAGGACTTGTTTTTACGAGGATTATAACACCACGACATGAAAGTATAAGGTTTATGGAGTCTGATAAGGGTCCCAAAACAAAAAAGACATGACGACAAGATTAGGCAACAAGATTGGAATCCAAGGGTTGATATCATTCCCTAACCTTTTCCTTCTAAGTCTCTTCTTCACATACTGTATCTTATCTTCTTCACCCCATTTTGGTTCTTCTACGCCTTTCGCAAGCACCAAGGGTTGGGGTAGTTGATAAGGGCACTTTGACCTCCAAGATGCTTTCTTCACCGATACCCTTTTCATGAAAAGACTTAAAGCCCATCGGAATTCATGGTGTTTAGGGCACAGGATTGGAGGGTATTCCCAATCGAGGTAACATGGGATTTGTGTGGCGATGAAGAATTGGGCATGGAGAGATGGGGTGGTTGTATGGTGGGTTAGGATGTGAGTTAGGGCATGGTGTCTTTGTTCCCATGTCGTTTCTTCCATTTGGAAATTTAGAGGGTGGGTTTTTGTTTTTGTTTTTGTTTTTGATTGGATTGAATGGGTCAATATTACTACATATATATATATGGTATAAAGTGTTAAAAATTAAAGTATCCATATAAAAAAAGAAAAAGTGTTGGTAGTTCTGCTGTTGCTATTTAAAAGTTTATAATTCAATAAATAAATGTGGTTATCCATCAAAAATCAAAAATTAAAAATATAATAAATAGATTGAGATCGTGGTTGATAACGAGTTTCTGATTTTTTTTACAAGTTTGAAATAAAAAAAGAATTATCTGGAAATATATGCTTAGATTTTTTATTTTCTAATAAAAAGCTTCTAACTAAGGAATTACTTCAACTGTTTTTTAGATGTTTATGAATTTTTAGCTTTTATATTTCATTTAAATTTATGATTTAAAATATTTATAGTAAATTAAAAAAAATACTTTTACATAAATAAAAATAACATCCTCCTGTTACAAAGTAATTTATAATTTCAAAACTTTACAATTATTTTTAACAAACAAATTTATACGGATAAAAATTATAATTTATAATTATAATATATTTTTACATATCATGAAACAAAATAATATTTTATATAATAAAATGAACGGTTATTGATCTTTTTTTTTTTTTTTTTTCTTTTCATTTTGTTGATTTTCATTGCAAATGTTTAATGTAATCCTTTATGTTTTTGTAATTTTTAACAACACAATGATTTTTTAGAAATTTAAATTTAAATTTTTATTTTTTATAAGTAACTAGAAAGTATATAACTTTTATTAATAATATTTTTAGATTTTAACAAGCTTTTGTTATGTATAATTTTTTCAAAAATATTAATACCAAACCTACATAATATTCATCCCATTAGTTTCTTCATTTCATTATTCCATGATTTCCAATCAATTATATTTTTTCTTTAATGAGTCATGATTCCGGTCCATCTTTGCCAAACTACGAGTCACCCAAATAGCGGCTGTAGCAGTGTGGCCTATACTTTTAGCCATCCAACGAAGAACTTCAAAACTGAGCAGATCTAGCAACTTGATCACTCTCTGAATTCACCATCATCTATTGTAGTAAGATCTTTATCGTATTTACGATTCTTGTCATACTAAAACCCATTATACCTGTACTTCGATGTCTCCAAATGATTGTTTGACAACATGCCTACAAACTGTTTGATAAAATGTCTGAAAGAAAAATCATTTTTACACCAGGCCTTCAGATATCCAGTTTTCACCTGAGCACCTCCGATAGACTTATGGGGTAGTTTGGGAAAACATTCGTCGGTATTTGCAACATGGCGATGAGAAGCAAATCACTTATCAAATGGCCAAAACAAGTAACAACATCTCTAGTTGAACAACTGATTAAAGCTGAACGGAATGTAGAAAAAGCTGTCATCGTTTTTGATTCCGCATCAGCAGAGTACGCTAATGGCTTCCGCCATGACCACACCACTTACTCCCTCATCATCTCAAAGCTCTTATCTGTCAATCAGTTCCAAAGAGCAGAAGATTTCATCGACAGAATGACAAAAGAATCCTGTAAAGTCACTGAAGACATACTTTTATCAATATGCAGAGCCTATGCACGTGTCCATAAACCTCACGATGTCATGAGAATTTTCCAGAAGATATCTGAACCCACATTGAAAGCTTACGTCACTGTCTTCTCCATTCTCGTTGATGAAAACCAGTTGAAAGTCGCCTTCAAGTTCTACAGGTACATGAGACAATTAGGCTTCCCTCCAAATCTCCCTTCACTTAACGTCTTAATCAAAGCTCTTTCCAAGAACATCTCCACCATTGATTCAGCCATTAACATCTTTCGTGAGATGCCCAAACACGGGTGTACACCAGATACATACACATACGGGACTTTAATCAATGGGTTATGTAAATTATCAAAAATTAAAGAAGCCAAAGAGCTTTTTAAAGAAATGGAAACAAAAGGTTGTTCTCCAAGTGTTGTCACCTACACTAGCTTAATCCATGGATTATCCCAAAACAATTTGGATGAAGCTTTGGCTCTTTTTCAAGAAATGGAAGCTAAAACTATAACCCCTAATGTATACACCTATAGCTCTATTATAAATGGGCTATGTAAGAATGGGCGTAGTTTGGAGGCTATGGAGATTTTGGAGGGTATGATTGTCAAACGACATAAACCCAACATGGTAACTTACAGTACTTTACTTCATGGATTATGTAAGGAGAAAAAGATTCGAGAATCTTTGGAGATATTTGATAGGATGAAAGTTCAAGGGTTGAAACCAGATGCAGGATTGTATTGGAAGATGATTGAGGTGTTTTGTGATGATGGAAGATTTGATAAAGCTGCTAACTTTCTTGATGAAATGGTGTTTGAAGGGATTCCTATAAAGAGAGTGACTTGGGGTGTTCATGTTAAGATTCATAATACTGTGGTGAGAGGTCTTTGTAGGTGTAATGATGGAAATAGAGGGTTTCAAGTGTATTGTAGGATGCGAGGTAAGGGGATTTGTGTTGATGTTGAAACTTTTGAGGTTCTTGTTGGTTTTTTTTGTGAGAAATGTGATCTTGAGAAGGCGATTAGGGTTTTTGATGACATGGTTGTTGATGGATGTGTTCTTGAAGAAGATACATGGAGTGATTTGGTTTGTAGAGTTTTGGGGAAACAAAAGGTGAAAGAAGCTGATGAATTGATGAGTAAACTTGTTGTGTTTGGAAATCAAGTTTGACATAAGTCATCTAATATTCTAATCCTTTATAATTACTTATTTTAATCATATGTATGCTCATTATCTCGGATATAAGCTTAATGATGTAATTTAAGTATGGGGTGTGTAACAACTAACTCAAGTATCGTATAATTTTACTAGCCTTAAGAGTAAGAGTATTTAATAAGTAGAAGCTAAAGGATCCTGTGAAATGTGAATCATGAAGATTGAACTTAAGAACTTAAGAACTTAAGATATTCATTATATTTATTTTAAATTGAAGATTGAAGATATAAAACGCTACCCAAAAAGGTATATCACAATTCACAATCAACATTTGAATGTCAATCGCATTCCAATGCTTTACAAAAGGAAACGTGTATTAGCCATCCTTTGAGTTAGGGTCAAGTTTGTCTATTTTGGGAGGAATGTGTGGTTTAAAGGGTGCCGTATGCAAGTAGCGTGTTATAGATGTAGTTGATGGCGACGTTACATCTTTGTAAATGTTGCATGGAAGAGGGCAAAGTTATGATAAGTTTTTGTGTGAACGTTTGAAAATATCGCGAATGATATAATTTCTTGTGATTGCATATATAAACAATATAAAAAAAAGTTAATTACTTTTTATTTTACATATAAATTCATAACATCTACATTTTTCAATTCACACAATTCCCCTCTTTCTCAATATTCTCTACAATTTCAAAACTTTTCAAAAAAAAATTATGGATCCTTTCGACTCGTCCGACGATGACGATGACGGTGACGATATATTCATCAATATGATGTACCAGGATTGCATCAACGAGTTATTACAAGCAAACACAACCCCTCTACTAGCAAAACATGCGATGGTAAATAGAAATCGTGAGGAAGGACACGAACGTCTATATCGTGATTACTTTGCAGATAAGTGTGTGTATGGATCGAAGGAGTTCAAAAGAAAATTTCGTTTGAGTAGGAATGTGTCCCTACGGATCGCCAACGCATTGGAAAGCCAGTATCGTTTCTTTAATTTATTACATATTTACTACGGATCACGGTTCGCCTTCGTTGGTTTTAGAGGTTGTTACTTCACAAGATTTATGGAATTGACATGCATTTTTTAGGGTTGTGGGTTCCAACAACGATGTCACAGTCGCCAATATTCAACTATTTTTCGAATAGAAAGGCTCCGGATGCTCATTTCACAGATAATAGAAACGAATACAAGTTTGGGTATTACCTTACGGATGGAATATATCCTCCGTATTCCACATCCGTGAAGGCATTCTGACACTCGATTGAATAACGACATAAATTATTTAAGAGAAGACAAAAAGGAGCATGTAAGGATGTGGAATGTGCTTTTGAAGTTCTAAAATTGAAGCGGCACATAGTTGAACATGCAGCACGCCCATTCGACTTAGAAACTATATGGTATATCATGTATGCGCGTATCATAATGCATAACATGGTTGTAACATCCCAAAAATACAGGCCAAAAATTTCATTTTTAAATACGTCCTTATAAAACCAACAGTGTAATAAAACATTTGTAATATCATATCATGTCAAAACCAAAGTAGAAATAATCAAACATGTTATCATAAAACAATATCAGAGTGTAATCCCAAAGATCTCATGTGTGGAAAACCATAGTGTGATGCGTTGCGATCAAGCCGGCTCCTTTCCTTTAAACACGAAGTACCTGAAACCAAAACACCGTAAACACGAAGCTTAGTGAGTTCCCCCATCATACCACATATCATATAATCACATAACATAAATATATTGTCAGGCATATCTGGGAGCCCGACCTACCCCTTCGGTCCTCTCGACCGGATACTGACTAGCATATCTGGGTGCTGGTCTCCCCTTCGGTCCTCTCGACCGGATACTGACTAGCATATCTGGGTGCTGGTCTCCCCTTCGGTTCTCTCGACCGGATGTTGGGGACTATTTCACCCTCTACCACTACCACATAACACGTATCACGTAATCTATTTAACATGGCTGGGCATGACTGCCCCTTCGGCCCTATCGACCGGTAACCTAGGGACTATCTCCCCTACTATCACTAGCACATAACATCATATCATACAAACATATAAACATAACACATGTAGTATTAACCCTAGATGAATATCATAGAGACAATCATCTAATCATACAATTCCTACTAGTGGGCCGACATTGTGGCCTTAGACCCACTACTACTAGAAGGTAACTCATCTCATTTTGTTGAAGTCCCAAAGACACAATCCCACACTTGCTGATGTCCCGCAGACTAGGCCCTTGCTGTTGGCTG